GCGCGGCGGCGTTGATGCCCGACGCCGCCGCCGCCGCGGCGCGCGCGCGGCGGCTCGTGCGGTCCGCCGGCGCGCCGCCCGCGGCGGCGGCGGCGCCGGGGAAGAGCGCCGCGGCGCCGTCGCCGGAGCGGCTCGCGCGGCGCTTCGCGGCGACGCCCTCGTGGACGCGGTCGCCCGGCGACTGGGGCCCGCTCGGCGGCAGGCCCTGGTGCTTGAGCGCGGGCTGCGCGTAGCACTGGGGGTCGAAGCGCGCGACGTGGGGCGCGACGTCCGCGTCGCGCGCGACGGCCTCGTCGAGGCTCATCGTCAGCGACGGGTCCGCGTAGGCCTCGCGGCAGAAGTAGCGGAACGTGAGCACGACGAAGGGCAGCGGCGCGACGAGCAGCGCGTCGCCGACCATCTGCTGGAAGAGGAGCCAGAGCGCCAGGATCACGTTCGAGGTCGCGAGGCCGAAGAGCACGCGCTCGACGACGCGGTAGAAGAACATGCCCCCCGACTCGTAGACCGGCATGTGGCAGAAGAGGATGAGGTAGCGGAACTGGAAGGAGATGAGCACGAAGTAGACGAAGGCGAAGACGGACACGAGCGGCGCGAAGACCCAAAACCTGGGCAGGAAAAGAGTGCGAAATTTCCAACTTTGGAGGCTCGTATCTCGGTTCCACTCGTTTCGGCTATTTTTTGGACGAGCGATCATCTCTCGGAGCGCCCTCGACGCGTGGATGCTTTCTCTGGAACGCGCGCGCGCGGAACACTCAGGTTGAAGCGAACTTGAATCACTCTTTTCCTGCTCCGCCCAGAACGTGCAGAAGATCGTGAACGTCATCATGACCTTGGGGAACGCCCAGCCGTAGAGCATGGCCGGCAGCTCCGGCGGCTGCACCGTCCAGGTCTTGAAGCCCCGCGAGAGCAAGGGCCAGGCCCGCAGGCTCCAGAGCGGCGACGTGCCGCACTGGAAGATGAGGAGCTTCGCGAAGTAGAGCGCGGCGTCGGGCGTCTTCTGGCCGATGGTCAGCACGAAGGTCACGGGGCTGTGCCAGGCCTTCTGGAGGTCCTTGAGGATCGCGTTCGCGAGGATGGACACGTAGACGTTGATGAACTGGAAGCGGAAGAAGCGCTCGACGACGCTCAGATCGACGGCCGAGTGCGACTTGAGCCGCTCGTAGAACCGCGCGATGGCCTGGAAGCAGAGCGGCAACAGGTTGACGATGGACAGGAGCGCGGCGATGGGCAGCACCTGGTACGTGGACCGCTCGACGAGGCCCTCGTCCTCGACGTCCCAGTCGAAGATGAGCGTCACGAGCCGCGTCGTCGACGAGCACCACGTCACGACGGTGAACCAGAAGAGCATGAGCGTGAAGACGCCGCCGGCGACGACCCACTGGCGCCGCAGCACGGACCCGCGCCCCACGAAGACGTTGTCCCAGAGCACGTCGCGCGGCTCCGGCGCGTCCGTCGCGCGCATCGCGAACGGCACCTGGGCAGGAAAAGAGTGATTCAACGTCGCTTCAACGTGAGTGTTCCGGGCGCGTGCGTTCCGGGAAGCATCTACGCTTCGAGACCCGTTCCGACAGATGATCAATCGTCCAAAAATCAGCCAAAACGAGTGGAAAACGGCCGAGATAGGAGCCTTTGAAGTTTGGAATTTCGCACCTTTTTCCTGCCCTGAGCGGCACCGCGCCGAGCGACGCGCGCGTCGCCAACAACTTCGCCGTCGGCCGCGACAGGGTCACGAAGGCCGTCGCCGTCGCGTCGAAGCCCTTGCCCCCCTCGAGCACGGCGATGCGGTGGCCGCAGCAGAGGTAGTCGCGCGCGAGCATCGCGACCGTGTGCGAGCACGCGCGGAAGAACCGCGGCACGGACTTGCCTGCGCCGAGTTCACAGCGTCGACGTGCGCGCGAACTCCGTGGAGAACTCGCCGAGCGCAATCGAGTCGTCCGAACATCGAGCGAATCGACGTCGATTCGAGGGAGCTCGGGGACTTCGTGAAGTTCGGGAAGTTCGCGCGCGGCGCGGGGACCCGCGGACGACCTTGCGCGCGCTCAGGGCGACGCGTCGGGCGACGGCGGGCACGGCCTGGGACGGCGGGTCCGAGGCGAGCACGCTGAGCCAGTGGCGGTCGCGGTACTTGGCGACCGGGTCCACGGACTCGCGCCGGTCGTCGCCGCCGCGCCGCAGGGCGCCCGACGCCTGGAGGTGGCTCAGGCGCCGGTTGCGCCGCCGGGCCGACGCCGCCGCCGCCGCGGGCGTCGGCGTCGGGGCCGCGTCGTCGCCGGCGCCCGCCGCGGGCGTCGCGGGCGCCGGCGCCGGCGCCGCCGCGGGCTCGTCGTCGTCGCTGTCCGAGGAGAAGTCGTCGTCGTCGATGGCCCAGAAGCAGCCCCGCCAGCCGTGGTTCCGCCGCTTCTTCTCGCCGATGAGGGCCCGGAGCCGCGGCTTGCTCGTCCGCTCCGCGAGGAGCATGTGCGCGAAATGCGCGCGCAGGATCTCGCGGTTCAGCGCGTCCACGGTCTGCTCGTAAAAGGGGATGGACTCGACGAAGCAGCCGTCGAAGGCGCCGCAGCAGCAGCCGTAGAAGGCGTTGAAGAGCGTGCCGTAGCGCGGCACGTGGCGCGGCACGGGGTCGGGCACCGCGCGCGCGCGCCACATCTCCCGGCTCCACGTCCGCCGCCGGCCCGCGGCCTCGGCCGCGCTCTCCATGTCCTCGCTCAGGCGCCGCGCGTCGCGGAACCCGTCCAGTGCCAAGGCCTCGACCTCGTCGACCTGCGACCGCGCGCCGACGGAGCCCGGGTCGTCCTCGAGCAGCTCCGGCGGCTCGCTCCGGTCCGCCGGCC